AAAAAAACCGAATGAGCTTCACCCTTTCTCGGCAAGATGTTCAAACACCAAAGAGACACCGTTTACAGGCATAAAGTGTGCATTGACCACACATGCTCGTGGCAAAACATGCATGCATACATCGATACCGGCAAGCACTCTTTGGTAAACGCGTGCATTGTTGTAGGCCGATCGGTTTCAAGGAGAGCGCGCGTGCGGTTTATCGTTCGTTTGCATGTTACCACGAGCGTGACGTGCGTGTGTGTGTGTATGTGCGTGCGCGCGTGTGTGTGCGTGCGTGTGCGTGCGTGTGTGTGTATGTGCGTGTGTGCGGTTAACGCAGACTCGGTCCCTTGCAATAAGTGCGTCTGTTTTGGCGTTCGCACGTCTTAACGCCCCCTGTATTCTTGCCGGAATGGGTAATAAAGCATATTATTATGTCAAACATCTTGATACCGGTAGTGAAGAAAAAAGGGTCCCATAGATATTATTAGTAGTATTCCGCTCGTTCACCCAGAAGAGCCCCTTTTTCAGGAGGGTCCCGACCACGCTTTCACAGCAGGTGCCGACGATTGCTGCCCTTACGCCGCGGTGGCCAGGAGATGTTAACTACCTCGCCCGGTATACAGGAAGTCGTGAGTTCGATCCAGACCCTGACGCCTGCTGCTGTATACAGTATTTGGAGTTGGCGTGTCTCTCTCTCTCCCCGTGGTCGCGTGGAATTTTCTCCAGGTCCTCCGGTTTTTCCCTTCCGTATTTAGAATCAACGTCACGCGTTTCGAGTCGTTTGGCTGCTGCGAGACATTACCGCGGGATGATGATGGTGATGATGATAAGCCACTTCGTTGAGCCATCATTTGTGATCGCCAGCGTCATCATTTGTGACAGCCAGCCACATTGCAGCTCTGTGGTGGGGCCTTACCTGCTAAACAAAACTAGTAAAACATTTAGTTTTAATAGTCATCCTGGTAGAGTATAATGGTATTTTAGTTTTAATATATATCAATAAAAAATATTTAGTATATGTATATAAATATAATATTTATATATAGTTTTAATGTATATGTTTAATAGTCATCCCGGTAGAGTGTATTAATATATATTTAATTAGATATATAATATATATTGATAACATATCTAGTTGTGATATATATTGTATATTTAATTATATATATACTATACATAATAAAATATACATAGTTTTAATATAATATTTAGTTTGAATTCATAATATATAGTTTTCATATATATTTAGTTTAATATATATTTAATGTTTAGTCTCAATAGTCATATTTATTTATTCACAACCTTTGAGGACCTCGACAGATTCGGCACTCGTTCCCGTGGGGGTGACCGTCCAATCATCTCTCTCTCGCGCGTGTGCGTGTTGACACGTGGGCAAGGTAGGGGCTACAGGTAATGCATCGGCCACTCATCTCAGTCATCTGGGTCATCTCAAGTCAGTCGACTCCTGGCACCTGGGTCTGCCCCGTGAGCTCCACCTGCCGGCGGGCGTTCGACACTTCACGTGGCCTCAACGTGCACCTAGCCTGGCACAAGCGTCGTGGCGACGTCACCGCCACTTAGTGGCGAATGGCGGCTGCTGTTGTTGTTGTTTACACGTGGAACAGCGAAGTTCCCGGACACGGGCGAGGGGAGAATCTGTCCCACACGGCTGCGAGGCTGTGAGACCCGCCGCCTGTGCCGGTCTCACGCGACGCCTCCATCTCTCTGACCCCGTGCGTGCCCCACTGGGCATCTGTGAAAGATGTGCTTCATTACTCATCGGATTCCTCCAGCATCAATATTCTGATATAAACACACACAGTGACGCGGGCTGTAGCATTCACAAACACCCCTCCAATCCCTCCATTGATTGTCAATCACCCTGTACCTCCAATTAGCACGGTTGGCTACGTACGGTGCGAAAGAAGTTCGACATACAGTACATAATTCTAGATTTGAAGCTTTCGTGACTGCAAGGATTCATACTCTCAGGTTTTTTCGGTAAAGTCACGTCGGTAAAAAATTTAATTAAAAGTTCAACACACATAGAAGCAAGACCAGCCTCTCACACGACGCTTCTAATCTTTGCCCGGTCCGCCAACTCTGCATCCCAAGACGCCTCCCACCGTTTGCGAGCTTCTGTTTTTGTAACGTTCCGAGCAATTATACAACACGCGGGTTCCGTATTCTTGGGTCTTTCGGTAAAATCTTAAATTTGGAGCTTTCGTGACTGCAGGAATTACTCTTTTGTTATTTCGGTAGAGTCACGTATAAAGATAAAATAATACATTAAATAATAGCATAGGACGTTTCGATTGCAACACAAGCAATCATCATCAGGCATAAATGAAATAGCAACAAAAATCTAACCAGAAAACTATAGACAGACATATAAGCAGACAGATATCACCAAGATACATAGATAGAGAGTAACACACAGGCACAGAGAGGGAGATCGTCTCTGTGGCGAGGCCTTAAATAGACAGAGGGGGGCGGGGCCGGAGAGAGGGGGAGGGGTTAGAGACAAAATGAACATGTCAATGAGTGCGGCGACGCGTGGTCAAGTACGCAAGGTTGAACAGTAGGAAAGAGGGAGAAAGTCTTTCGGTTAAGTCACGTGGATAGGTTCAAAGAAAATAACAAAAGTTAACAAAAAAACGACGACGTTTCGATCGCAACACAAGCGGTTGTCCTTTTTCCTGAAGACGGCCGCTTGTGTTGTGATCGAAACGTCGTCGTTTTTTTGTTATTTTCTTTGAACCTATCTACGTGACTTTACCGAAAGACCCAATAATATTAATTCCTGACGCGGAGAAGTGCTGCCCCCTTGCTGTGGCCGATCGCAGGCCATGTGAAGCGATCCCAATCATCATCACGGTGGCTAGGAGATATTAACTACCTCGCCTGGTGTACAGGAGGTCGTGGATTCGATCCTGACCCTGACAATGCCTGCTGCTGCTGTGTATTTGCGGTCTCTCTCATCATCATCATCATCCCGGTGGTTAGGAGATGTCAACTACCTCGCCTGGTGTACAGGAGGTCGTGGGCTCGATACCGACCCTGACTGCCTGCTGCTGTATATTTGGGGTCTCTCATCATCATCATCACGGTGGCTAGATGTTAACTACCTCGCCTGGTGTACAGGAGGTCGTGGGTTTGATCCTGACCCTGACAATGCCTGCTGCTGCTGTGTATTTGGGGTCTCTCTCATCATCATCATCACGGTGGCAGGAGATGTTGACTACCTCGCCTGGTGTACAGGAGGTCGTGGGTTCGATCCTGACCCTGACAACGCTGCTGCTGCTGTGTATTTGTGGTCTCTCTCTCCCCGTGGTCGCGTGAATGTTTCTCCGGATCCTCCGGTTTCTCCGTTCCACATTTAGAATCGACATCGCTACGCGTTCAGAGTGTCTCGCTGCTATAAATGACCACACGATGGTGATGGTGGTGATGATGGTGATGATGATGGTGATGATGATGGTGGTGGTGATGATGATGGTGGTGGTGATGATGATGATGGTGGTGATGATGGTGATGATGATGGTGATGATGATGATGGTGATGATGATGGTGGTGGTGATGATGGTGATGGTGGTGATGATGATGGTGATGATGGCGATGATGATGATGGTGGTGATGATGATGGTGATGATGGTGATGATGATGATGGTGATAATGATGGTGATGATGATAGTGATGATGATGGTGATGATGGTGATGATGATGGTGATGATGGTAATGATAATGGTGATGATAATGGTGATGATGATGGTGATGATGGTGGTGATGATAGTGATGATGGAAATGATGATGGTGGTGATGGTGATGATGGTGGTGGTGATGGTGGTGATGATGGTGGTGATGGTGGTGATGATGATGGTGATGATGGTGATGATGGTGGTGATGATGATGGTGGTGGTGATGATGATGGTGGTGATGATGATGGTGATGATGGTGATGATGATGGTGATGATGATGGTGGTGATGATGATGATGGTGGTGATGATGGTGATGATGATGATGGTGGTGATGATGGTGATGATGGTAATGATGATGGTGGTGATGGAGATGATGGTGGTGGTGGTGATGATGATGGTGGTGATGATGATGGTGATGATGGTGATGGTGGTGATGATGGTGATGATGGTGGTGGTGATGATGATGGTGATGATGATGGTGGTGATGGTGGTGATGATGGTGATGATGATGGTGGTGATGGTGATGATGATGGTGATGATGATGGTGGTGATGATGGTGATGATGATGATGGTTATGATGGTGATGATGGTGGTGATGGTGGTGATGATGATGGTGATGATGATGGTGGTGATGATGATGATGGTGGTGGTGATGATGATGGTCATGATGATGTTGATGGTGGTGATGAGATCGCTTCGTTGAGCCACCATTCGTGATGGCCAGGTCGCTTCTGAAGAAACGATCTGTCAAGTAGCTCAGCTGGGACATTGACACCCACCCCGGGCGAGAACCACGGGGCTGTCTGCACTATACTATCTCACCAGCGCGTCGCGTGCCTATCCACACCATGAAATACAATCACATATCCAAGCCCCCCCCCACCCCCTTTACCGAACAACCCCCTTATGTGAACTAGACAAACTAACGTCCTTCCCTCCCGCACTTATGCGCACTAAATCGAGCACCCCATCATCGCTTAAGCGCACTGAGAAATCTAACACTCCCAACCTATCCGTGGCTTATATGAACTGGGGAATGTGGAGCTACCCCGCGCGGCGCGCCTATGTGAACTGGGGAATGCAGAACCACTCCGCGCCCCGCGCCTATGTGAACTGGGGAATGCGGAGTCACCCCGCGCGCCGCGCCTATGTGAACTGGGGAATGCGGAGCCACCCCGCGCGCCGCGCCTATGTGAACTGGGGAATGCGGAGCCACCCCGTGCGCCGCGCCTATGTGAACTGGGGAATGCGGAGCCACCCCGCGCGCCGCGCCTATGTGAACTGGGGAATGTGAGTGTGAGCGCCACCTGCTCTGGGGGGATGGCGCGGCGCGCCGCGATGGCTGCGGCGGCGCTCGGCGGCGCCCCGGGGGGGAGACGCGGCGCGGGCGACACGGCCCGGAGGCCTCTGCGAGTCGCCGACCGGCGTCGCCAGGCGGCCATCGCCTTCCTCACCAACATCTCCCTCGACGGGAAACCCGCGGCGGTCGCTGCGGCTGCCGCCGGGACCGCGGCGGTCGGCGGCGGCGGCGGCGCGGAGGGCGGTGGAGGTTGTGGCGGAGGAGGAGGAGGAGCCGGCCGGGAGGCGGCGGCGGCCGCGGGCCCCCCGGGCACGGGGCCCGAGGCGGCCGCGCCGGCGGCGGCCGCGGGCCCCGCCGGGTGCGAGGCCTCCGTCCCGGCCAACAGCAGCGTGGCGAGCGGCCTCGGGGCCGAGCCGGGCGCTCTGCTCGCGGCGACGCCGCTGCGCTCGCGGCCCAGCTCGGCGGGAGCGGCACCCGCTGGGGGCCCCGGGGGGGCCGCCTCGGGGCCGCAGGGAGGAGGAGGAGGGGGAGCGGGAGGAGGCCGAGCGGCCCTGGGGCCCATGCTGAGCGTGGAGGCGCCGGGCGCGGTGAGCGACGTGCAGAGGCAGAGGTGGGGGTGTGCACAGGTGTACACACACACACACAGGTGCACACACACACACAGGTGTACACACACACAGGTATACACACACACACAGGTGTATACACACAGGTGTACACACACACAGGTGTACACACACACACAGGTGTACACACACACACAGGTGTACACACACGCAGGTGTACACACACACGCAGGTGTACACACACAGGTGTACACACACACACACACAGGTGTACACACACACACACAGGTGTACACACACACACAGGTGCCCACAGGTCAACTTTGGAGCGGTGGCACAGTGGTTAGCGTGCTGTGCCATGAACCCGGTGACCCGAGTTTGGTTCCTGCACACGACGATTATTTGAACCGGCCCTGGACCTCCTCAAGGTCGACTCAACCTCAAATGAGTACCCGCCGTTGTGTGTAAACATCGTCACTGGGGAGACAAAGGCGGCCGGGCGTGGTGCTGGCCACCCACCCCCTCGTGTGCCGTTCCGGCCTTCACAGCTGCTCGCTAACAGCACTTGCCCCAACAGTCTGTCAAGGCTACACACGTGGAGGATGTGCACACGTGATGCACAGATGGGCACACAATTGCACAACCGGACAGGTGTGTGCACGTACAGGTGTGTGCACGTACAGGTGTATGGTGTATGTACGTCATTGTGCGTCATCGTCATCATCATCATGGCCCACATTTTTAGAACTACAGATTTCACGTTTTGCCTCTGGGGCTGCCTTGGGTAGCTCCCCATCAGCGGACCAACAGCTTGCTGGGCCTACAGCTTGCTGGGCGAAAGAACGCTGCCTGTGAGATGAAGATGCATCGTTTGCGCGGAGTAACTCAGTCCATCATCCCTGCGCGTGAGGGGTGTGGTCGATAAAGTTATGACCACATTCTGTGGGGAAGACTCGCCCCCCCCCGCCATGTGAATCAGGAATACCCACCACTGGTTCAGCGCTGTTAACGGGAGATGGCTCAGAGTTTTAGTTTCGGTGATGAAATTGTAGATTTGCAACTGAAAGGATGAACACTTCCCCCTCTAGCCTGCAAGGTCCCAGTGTGCTGGACAACCATCGCGCCACGCCAGCCTCCCCCGTGCGGTGGCAAATATGATACCGTTTTCACTCAATCGCGTGCCTGCGGTGTATGGATGGGGACACACAAAGTCCGTGATAATTGCAAACGCCGCCGTGTGTGGAATACAGCCTCACGTGCGCCTAATAATAATATGGGCGCCTCGGTGGCTGGGAGATGTGAACTCCCTCGCCTGGTATACAGGAGGTCGTGGGTTCGATCCCGGCGCCTGCTGTATATTTGGAGTTTGCGTGTCTCTCTCTCTCCCCGTGGTCGCGTGAGTTTTTCTCCCGGTTTTTCCCTCCCCCACATTTAGAATCAACGTCACGCGTTTTGGAGCATTTGGCCGCTGCTCTAGATTTACACGCTGACGACGACGACGAAGATGATAAGCCCACTTCGGTGAGCAATCAACGGCGATAGCCAGCGTCGCTTCTGAAAAAAAGAGCTTTGTACAGTAGCTCAGTGGGGTTTTACCTGGTAAAATATAAAAGAGTAGTATTACAGTAGTAATGGTTAATAACGTGTCAAATTGTGAACGGGCACGCCCGCGTTCCGTGATTTATTCATGCGGGCGTTGACGCGCGCGACGTGGCATTTGAGAGGCGTGTTATTGAACAACATCGAATCGAGGGATCGCCTCCAAGGTCCCAGAAGCTCGAGCCAGCGCCGGTGACACATCCTGGCTTCGAATCCCGGGGGGGGGGGGGGGGTTTGAGCCGCCCAGCCGAGATGTCAACGGAGTCCTTGGGGGTGCGGCATGTCGATGGTCTCAGGCCGGTTGACCGGTGACCGCGCGGAAAGAATCCGTCGCGCTCTTAACTCGATTTGTTGTTTAATCGGGCGAGAACTTGGGGGGGGGGGGGGTGGATCAGGATAGGTGGGAGTGCCGCTTGAAAGAGAGCGAACAAACGGAGCATTGCACCGGCGGTGGTTGTGAGCCAGCGAGCGAGAGCCGATGGCAACTCCAGCGCCACCTCCCCCTTGGCCACGTTCTCCTTTTGCGGTTACGCCTGGCCGGGTGCCGGAGTGGTGCTGGAGGTGGGGGGGGCCCTGTTTGCACGCAATGTTGACCCCCCCACCTCCCTGCCCCCCACGTTGCTGTGTGCTAAGCGCATTTGGAAGGCGATCGCACCCCACTGGCTAAGCCGCGGTGGCGGCGGTGGCGGCGTGAACGGAGGCCGCTGTGTTTTAGAGCCAAGTGCGGTTGCCATGGCTTAGCAAAACACGGGGGGCGGCCTTCACGTGAGTGGCCTGGCGCGGGAGGGAGGGGAGGAGGAGAGGGACGGGGTGATGCGGGCGGCAGTGGCCAGGGAGCCGTGCGCCTGTTGGTGCCCGTCGCGGTTGTGTGGTGCCTGTGGCACCGCCCTTGAGAAGGGCGCGCGTGTGTGTGTACGTATGCATGTGTGTTGAACTTCTTTCGCACAGCACGTAGCCAGCCGTGCTCGCCGGAGGTGACCCCCCAAAGCTAGAGGGGGGGGGGGGGACACGTGCGGGGCAGAGAGCAAGGACGGTTAAAGGTTCGAGATGAAAAGGGGAGGATAAGGAAGGTCAGAGTGAGAGAGACGGGGGAGGATGGAGCTGGTGAGCGGTAGGACGGGCGGGACAGGAGGTGGAAAGGGGAAACGCTGGTGGGGAGAGAGACAGGAAAACCCAGAAGGGGAAGAGAGGGGGGGTGGGAAGATAGAGCAGCCGGGAGAGTGTGGAGACGGAGGAGAAACAGAGCTGAGGGGGTCTGCACAGCCAGAGATGAGATGATAGAGCAGAGAGAGCTGAGAAGATAGGAGGGGAGGAGATTGACATTAAGCGTCCGGAGTGAGAGCCTGTAGTGTTAGAGGAGAGCAGGGAGATGTAAGAGAGAGAGAGAGAGCGAGAGGGTGCCGTGGAAGAGGCTGGGAGGGTAGGAGGGAGACGCGGTGTGTTTGCGTGAACAGCACGCACGTATGTATGTTGAACTTCGCTCGCACCGTACGTAGCCAACCGTGCTAATCGGAGGTGGGGCAGGGAAAGCACAACAACACTAAACACGAAATGCAGTTGGAAGGAATGTTTTCTTGTTCGATCTAGACGATTATTTAAAAGTGCGTAGCTCCAACGGCTTCCTACCATTTTTAAATCATCCTCTAGAGAGTGACAAACTCATTTCTTTAGAACTGCTTTGAGTGTTTAGTTTGTTGTTCTTTCCCCCGTACCTCCGATTAGCACGGTTGGCTACGTACTGTGCGAAAGAAGTTCAACGTACACACACACACGTACGTACGTTACGAACAACACAACTGTGGTTGTAATTGACCCCTCCGTGATCTGATTTGAGCTCGCTCACGGCAAAGAAAGCAGCCCCTGTGGGCCCCCAGACGAAGGCTCGCTCGCGTACACATTGCCACGGTGTGCAGACTGCCATGGCGTGCAGACTGCCACGGCGGCGGCGGTGATGGCGACGGCCGCGCACGCGGGCCCTGTAATCTGGCATCGTGGAGGCAAGCGGTGAGGGACGGTTGGCGGATCACACACACACACAGATGTTGTTGTGAAAGTCCCCTTCCCGTGAGCGCCGCGGTGCCGTGTAACCCCCCACCCCACCAGCTCGCTAGGAGAAGGCAGTACAGGAAAAAAAATGCGGGCCCAATTTGGTTCGGTCTGTGTCAGGGGATTGAGCGTTTCCCCCTCGCACGCGTGGGCGCTCCCAGTTTCCTCGCACGTGTACAAACACTCGGCGTTAATCGGGCGACGGCACTTTCAATACGTAGAGGGGCGCAAGTGCTTGGGAAAGTTGTCAGTGAGCGACTGCTGTGCGTGTTGTTATCATCATGCTGAGTTTTCACGTTGGCCGTCTGTCGAGGCGATGCTCCGTGGCAGCGAGCGACCTTCGCCAAGGTCGCTCGCATCCTTCCTCGGCCCTTGAACCACTGCCCCCTCCCCAGAGTGGCTCATTGGTAACCCAACCAGGGTAGCAAGTGCTTACGTTGTTTTTTCCACAATAGAGGAATCATGGGTTAGACCGCGTCCATGAAACCCGCCACCGCCACCCGACGCAGCCAATTAGCACGGGTTTGTCACGTAAACAAAACATGTCAATTAGTTACTAGTTCCACACGAATCAGTTGTGTGTTGGAGAGTAAACCCACTACAACATTGACAATCCCAGCAGCGTGACGTTTCGCCGGTAACAACATCAACCAGCATCATCGGGCGGACAGCCACAGAGTTGTGGAGAAATCCTCCTCCTGCTGCTTGGGTCTGACATAGACACGGGCTGGGGTAATCGGAGAGGGGGTGGTGGCGGCACATTTATATTTGCGCAAATCTAACCCAAAAAACTCTTATGGGTAATGTTGCTCGTGAAAGCCCTACTACTAAAACGTGTTCAACAATTTTTTTTCCTTTGTTTCCTGAAGCATTTCATCTACAGATCACAAACATGCCTGGGCCGCAGGGTGGTAGCTGCTGTCGGGAGCGGTTGCCGCCACGATGTTATTTTCAGTGGGGGGGGGGGGGGGGGGGGGACAGAACGACAAATGTGCCGAGGAATGTGTCTCAAACGTAGAACAAGAATATTTATTTATAGTTGAGGAGGAATCCGAAGAGCTGTGAAGCTCTTTTTCGCAGATGTCCAGCTAGGGCACGGGGTCAGCACGTTACAGCAACAAACAGCACACAAACACGATAGTCGTGCAAAGTACAAGAAAGGTAAACAAATCGCCCAAAGACATAGAGATACAACACTGAACCATCCCCATCCTACCAGGCAAAGCCCACTGAGGCATTAACTTATTCTTTCAGAAGCGACCTGGCCATCACAAATGTTCGCTCAACAAAGTGGCCCATCATTTGGACATTTATAGCAGCAAAATAATCTGAATAATCTCAAAGCATGTTTTTAAATGTGGAGGGAAAAACCAGAGGACCCAAAGAAAGAAAAAAAATCCACGCGACCACGGAGAGAGAGAGGCACGCAAACTCCAAATATACAGTAGGTGTCAGGGTCGGGATGAAATCCCCGGCCTCCTGTATACCAGGTGAGGTAGTTAACATCTCCTAGCCACCGTGATGATGATGAGAAAGAGACATGCAAACTCAGAATATACAGTAGGTGTCAGGGTCAGGATGAAATCCCAGACCTGTATACCAGGCGAGATAGTTAACATCTCCTAGCCTCCGTGATTGCGATTGCCCATCAAGCGGAGGGGTTGTGCACGTGAGGCCTTCCTCCCCACGCTGAACACTGCCCACGGTGTCCAGCGTGGATTAAGCTGTCGTCGCATGGCTCGCAGACTTCAACTTGGACGTGCGATTTGCACATTACTCGCCGTACGCTCCAGAGAGAGAGAGAAACTGCCCATGGTGGACACCCGCAGCGTCTGCCACCCAAGGTGCTACCCAACCAGGGACTCCTTGGATCATGCGCTGGGTGATGAGGAAGATTGGGGGGGTTGAGGTAAGGGGGGGTGGGGGGCGACGGTGATGGTCGTGTGGTGAGGCCGGGGCGCTGCCCAGCACACGAGGGCCCCTCCGGGGTGGCCGTGCGGCGAGACGCGTTGGCCGCTGCGCGTTCGGACTCGCGCGGCACGCCGTGACGCTTGCGCCCGGCGTGGAGGAATGCGGGGGAGCGCGCGCCGCTGGGCCCGTGGTGACTGACGTTATGGGACGGTGGGGGGGCGTAGGGAACTTGCGCAGCATGTGCTAGCGGCCGTCCCCGCCGTCGCAGCCACACACAGCGATGGAACCTTGTCGCCTTACAAGGGGTGGCAGCGGCGGTGGTCCAGGTGGAGGCGGTGTTGATATTGGCCTGCAAAAACCTACCTTGGTAATCAGTTACCTGAAATAAATACGTAAATAAGCTATTAAATCCGAGACAATTATGTATCTCTCGCATTGCTTTCTCTCTCATCACTTTATCTCTCATTGCTGTATCTCTCATCACTATGTCTCTCATCACTATCTCTCTCATCGCATTCTCTCTCATCGCTTTATCTCTCATCACTTTATCTCTCATCGTTTTCTCTCTCATCGCTTTATCTCTCATCACTTTCTCTCTCATCACTTTCTCTCTCATCGCTTTCTCTCTCATCGCTTTCTCTCTCATCACTTTCTCTCTCATCACTTTCTCTCTGATCGCTTTATCTCTCATCACTTTTTCTCTCATCACTTTATCTCTCTGTCTGTGTCGATGTAGTAAGGAATTCCAGATGAGATTCACGGATATCCAGAATCGCCGATAGCCAAGTGCGTGAATAATGATGGAATGCCGCACTCCCCGAACAGAAAAATCACCAACCTCACGCAGTCTGGGATGTTAACTCCCTCGCCTGCTATGGAGCAGGTTATGGGTTCGATCCCAACCCTGACACCTGCTGCTGTATATTTGCAGTTTGTGTCTCTCTCCGTGGTCGCATGGACTTTTCTCCTGGTCCTCCGGTTTTTCCTTCCACATATAGAACCAATGTTACGCGTTTAGAGTATTTGATCTGCTATAAATGTACACATGACGATAAGCCACTTTGTTGAGCTATCATTGTTGATGACATGGTCGCTTCTCAAAAAGAGCTGTAGAGCTCAGTGGGCCTTACCTGGTAAAAGAAAAATTGTTACGACTGTAATTAGTTAATGTGATGGATTTTTTTTCTTAAAATCATGTCTGGTTCTGTGCTTAATTTGCCTTTATCCCAGCTCTTGAGAATTAAAATATCGGTTTGATTGTCATGCGACAGAGCATCACCCTCGTACGGCCAGGCGGGTGGGAAGTTGCTGCCCGTGCTGCGTGTGGACTCAGAGGTCACTCGAAGAAGGAGAACAAGAGGAGGGATCTCGGAGATAGCTCTGTGATATCCGCTTCCGCAGGGACGGAGCGGGGGGAATGAGGCTGTTCTCTCACGCAGGGTCGCACACGCCAGAGTCTTCGAGTGGAATCTTCATCCCGTGACGGACGCCGTTGGCGCGGTCTGGAGATGAAATTGGGGGGTGGGGGGGGGGAACATTTACAAGTGGACGTCAAAACGCGACGCGACCTGCGAACTGCTCTTTTGTTTCCGCACGGCACCTCGTGGGGGCAGAGTGTCAAGCGCCAGGATCTCCGGTCCTCAATAAATCTGGGGGCAGACTCTACCCGTGGGTGCGCACGCACGGGGAGTCTGCCCCCAGTGCCGGCCGGCGTGGTGAAGTATGGTCAACTAATGCTCCCCCCCCCGCCCCAACAACCGGTACGGGCACGAGGTTGGGTGGGGGCGGGGGGGGGAAGGGGTGGGTGGCCGTGGTGATCGCGCGCTAGGCTGGGGACGCTGCTGGGCACGCGAGAGCCTCCTTGGGCCGTGTGGGGAGAGACGCATTGGGGTTGGCTTGACAGAAGGGCCGTAGAGCTACGTGTGCAGTGCCGCCCTTCCGAAGGGTTCCTTTTGAAGACGTTGACGTCTTTCGTGGAACTTTACAAAGTGTGCCGAGGACGACACTGTGACTTATTTGTGCATCTGTTTAAAACCATTTTTTAAAATACAAATTGCGTAAAACCTTCCCGCGACCGAGTGAACGTGTTTAATTCTCGCAGCGCGAGAGCTCGATCCTGGTATCCCGTTCAAAGAACCGGATGATGATCGTGATGATGATGATGAGAATCTCTTTGGCTGCCACTGGCCAGCGAGTTGCGCCGACTGACCTGTGTGTGCGTGCGCGAAATGTGACCCGGAGTTTGTGGCCTTGTTTGCGCTCTCTCTAAAGGCCCGTTGCTGTCTGTCGTGTCAGTCTGTTGTTCAGACGGCGGTTAGCCTCCCAGCGCTCGTCCGTAGACACCCTGGAGGAGACCGAGGCGCTCACCTCGCTGCGGAGGTACGGTATGTCGTACCGTACGTACGTACCGGTGTGTGTGTGTACAGTGCGGGACCCTCCCCAATGCTGCCTGGATCTCTCTCCTCCGCCTCCTCCGCGCTTCTGTCTCTGACGGCCGCGAGTTTCTTGCCTCCTCGGCAGGTTCCCTGTCCTTGCTCTTCCGACCGCCTTCCACTCGGTGCTATCGCAGCTGCCCTCTCCGCCTTTCTCTCTCTCGCGTTCCCCGCACGCGTTGCGAGTAGGTGACGGCTGCAGCGCCGGTGCATCGTCACGGCGCTTGCGGGAGGCCGTGAGCCCTTTGCCCGCCTCGTGACACAACCCCAAATCGTCTCGTCCGGCACTGGCGTCTTCGCCGCCACAACAAGGCCCCCCCTTCCCCCAACGCCCCCCACCCCGCCCCTCCACCGCGGCCTCGTGGAGCTTGCCGCTGTGAGTGAAACAACCCGCGAGTGACCAAGGAGCAGCGGCCGCGGCAGTTTTTTGGCTAAGCCATCGAATGAAAGACGGCGGCCGCCGTCGTGCGCCGCTTTTCGTGGTGCGCTTCTGCGGTTGTCCGGAGTGCTCTCTTCCGATGTTCGGTGCAAATCGAAATTCAACGTACGTACGTTAGGAAGCCACTGGGAGCTGTGCGGTTTTAAGCACGTCTAGATTGACACTCATTTCGTTAGTTTAGTTTCTCGTCCTTCTCCCCCCTCCGCACCTCCGATTAGCACGGTTGGCTACGTGCGGTGCTAAAAAAGAAGTTCACCGTATGCACGTGAGCGCGCGCGCTCGCATGCTCCCACGCTCACCGGGTTGCCGGAGGGGAGCATTTTCGACCCGACAAGCAGCGCCCGCATTTCTGATCACTTTCCTGTCCACCGCAAGGGCCTCTCTTGCAGCGACCGGGGAGTGGTCGAGGAGCCGCGTGAGCCCTCTTTGGGCCTCCGTGAGGACGAGGTTTACCCGAGCTGGAATTGGCCGAACGAATCTCGGCAGGGCGACACCCCCCCGGATCTTCCTCGGTGACGTTCACAGCGGCGTTGCCCCGCTGGGTTTCCTCCTAGGGGGCGCCACGGTGGCTCGGAGATGTTACCTACCTCGCCTGTCGTACAGGATGTCGTGGGTTTGTTCCTGACGCCAGCCGTAGTATATTTGGAGTTTGCGCATCTCTATCTCCCCGTGGTCGTGTGGATTTTTCTCCGGGTCCTCCGGTTTTTCCTTCCACACGATGAGAAGCCCCCACTTCGCTGGGCTGTAATTCGCCATAGCCAGGTCGCTTATGACAAAGGGCTACGTAGCTTCAGTGGTGGGGCCTTACCTGGTCAAGTAAAAAATAATTTAGTTTCCTCCGCCTCCTCGTCCGTGTGCGGCGTCTCCCTGGAAGTGGAGCCCCATGGAACGGGGAGGTGGGGGGGAGCATGGGGCCTCGGGTGAGGAGTATCTGGAGAGGGGGTCACGACGAGGGCGGCCCGTTGACGTCGACGCGGCCGTAACGACGTCGCCGTCGCGGTTTTACCGCATCGTACCCTGAACAGCTCCCCCAGCACCGCGGGTGAGCACGGTTGGCTACGTATGGTGCAAAAGAAGTTCAACGTACGTACATACCGTGCATCTTAAGTTTGCACGAGTCGTCGCTTACTCGTGTGAGAACGCAACTCAAGTTGTGGAGGGGAAAAGGGCACCTGGATATTTGACACCAATCCCCTCACATCCGACTTGTCACCTTCCCCCAGTCACCTCTGATTGGCACGGTTGGCTCCGTCCGGTGGAAAATAAGTGCATTCGTGGAGCCAGGCGCCGTGATAAAATCTCCGCCGCACGCCACGACGAAGCCCGGCGGCTGCTCGTTGGCGATGCGATCGGGGGGGGGGGGGGGGGGGTGTGAGAAACTAATTACAAACCATAAACTAATTTTTTATTTTACGAGGTAAGGCCCCACATCTATCCAGCACCTTTTCAGAAGCGACCGGGCCAGCACAAATTACAGCTCATTGAAGTGGGCTTATCATCATCACGTGGAAATGTCTAGCAGCCAAATACTCACTTAAGCGCACGCTAATTATGAATGTGGAGGGGAAAAACCGGAGGACCCGGAGAAAAATCCATGCGACCACGGGTAGAACATGCAAACTCCAAACAATGCAGCAGGCGTCGAGGTCGTTATCGAACCCACGAACCTCCTGCACACCAGGCGAGGTAGTCAACATCTCCTCGCCACCATGGCGTCCGTGAGAAACGCCGGGCCGGTCCTCCGACCGAGGGCGGGAATCGGTGCGTCCACCGGGCGTTCGACATCGCGAACACGCAGTCCCTGCACCGGCGTTGCTGCAGTTGCGTAGCATCGCGTGGTGGGGGTGGGTGGGTTGGTGGGTGGGGGGCGGGTGGGCGGGACCCCCCACCCACCTTGCTGTAGACCCTGCCTCCCACCGGAATTCCTCGTCAAAGGAGAAGTTGCCGCTCGCGTGAGCGTTGGTTTGTCGTGTCCACAGCCCTGCAGAGGCAGCGGCGGAAACTCCGCTTGGCCGTTTGCGGGGGGGGGGGGGGGTGCGTCCGTAGGGACAATCACCATTGGTTGCCCCCCCCCCCCACTAAGCGGTACCCGTTTAATCTACCCCGGAGAGGTGATGAGCCGAGTCACCCCCCCAACCGGGAGTTGAACTCACAACCTTTCAGACTACGAGCCGCTGAGTCCGTGTGGGTCGATATCTACACCAGTGGATGGCAGACTCAGAAAACTTGATTTGTTACTGGAGGAATCCGATGACCTATGAGGCTGTTTATTTTCGCAGATGCCCAGTCGGGGCATGGGGTCAGAACGTTAGGACAACAAACACAATACACAAACACGATAGGGGTGCAATGTTTGGGAAAGGTTAAAAAGTCACGTGAAAATATATATATTTATACAATCAAACTGAATTATCTTGCCAGGTCAAGTCCACTGGCCATCATAAATGACATCACGTGTAAATTTACAGCGGCAGCCAAAATACTCGCTAAGCACGTGATGTTGTTTCTAAACGTGGAGGGGGAAAAAACGGAGGACCCGGAGAAAGAAAATCCACGCGACCACGGGGAGAGAGAGAGAGACACGCAAAGTTCACACATACAGCAGGTGTCAGGGTCGCGATCAAACCCACGACCTCCTGTAAACCAGGCGAGGTAGTTGACATCTCGCCACGGCGACACCCACAGCAAGGCTGGCATGGTGGCCAGTAGATGGCAGTACAGCAAAAAGCTTCGCAATGTGATCCCCTCCACGGGGAAAAATCCCACGGCTTGAAAAGAATCCGAATATTTATTTGTACTGGAGGAATCCGATGAGCTATAAAGCTCTTTTTTCAAAGATGACCAGTCGTCTCGCAGATGTCCAGTGAACATGAAAAGGAACTGGCGCAAGCATGCGATGCATGAACCCTCAAGAAAGTGTGGATCTCCTACAACCCTCGTCTTCCTTGATCCATCACCCTTTTCTCCAGCCTTGCCTCTGCCCTGCACACCGCTGGCATGGCACACAGCTGATGCTGCTGCTGTCCATGTTGTGTCTCTCCTCTCGTTGCTTGTCTGTGCCCTCCCTCCCCTCTCCTGTCGAGGAAGGAGGTGTCTCGCTAACAGCACTCGCTCCCGACTATTCGCGTGGTGGACGGGATCTTTGTCTTCTGCAGTTGTCCTTGTAGAGCGCACGCACGCACGCACACATGCACGCATGCACGCACGCACGCACGCACACATGCACACATGCACGCATGCATGCATGCACACATGCACACATGCACGCATGCATGCATGCACGCATGCGCCACGCTTCAGCGGCGACGTTAATGTGAAGGTGAAGTCGATTCCATTGATGAGCGGCCATTATTTGATTTTTAATGTGTGGAGCGGTTGCCCGATCTCTGGCCGCCATGAGCCCGGCTACGCATTACCCGAGAGTTACGGGTTGGTTATCAGGTCCGCCGTGCTCGAGTGAGCCGCGCGTGCGGGGAACGTTGTGGCGGAGTGGCGGCACGATGGTTAGCCACGCACTGCGCTACGAACCCGGCGAGCCGAGTTCGATTCCCGCTCGCTCGCGGCCACCGACACCACCGGTGATGATTGTCTGACTGGTCCTGGGGCCTTCCCCTTGGTCGACTCGGCCTCAAATGAGTACCTGGTGCAGTGTGTAAACATCGCCGCTGGGGAGACAAAGGCGGCCGGGCGTGGTGCTGGCCACCAAACCCTCTCGTGTGCCGCGCGGTGCCTTCGTAGTTGCTCGCTACCAGCACTTGCCCCCAACAGCCTGTTCAGGCTACACGGGGAACTTTGTCTGTGGGTGTGTGGAACATTAAACCCATCTTTCACAATACTGATGAAGCTGATAACAGTATCAGTTGTGTGGGTAGCCACTGACCCTATGGTCAACAAAAATAAAAAAAAAGATCCCCGTGTAGCCTGAACAGACTGTTGGGGCAAGTGCTGGTAGCGAGCAGCACCTATAAAGGCCGGAGCGGCACACGAGGGGGTGGGTGGCCAACACCACGCCCGGCCGCCTTTGTCTCCCCAGTGGCGACATTTTCACACTGCACTAGGTACTCATTTGAGACTGAGTCGACCGAGGGGAGGCCCAACACCGGCTCAGATATTCGTCACCGATGTTGGTCGGAATCTAACTCTGGTCGCAGGGTTTGTAGCGCAGCGCGCTGACCGCTGCACCGCCGCTCCCCACGCGCGCGCACACACACACGTGCTGAGCTAAATCAAAGTGGCCGTTAAAAAAAATCCAGCCACCAGCATTTCAGAATCAGAATCTTCATCTGGACCGGAGGAATCCGACGAGCTTGCTAAGCTCTTCTCCACGTCCGTACAGTCGCCGCGCATTGCTTAGTTTCCACGTGATAATTTTTGTAGGCCCCCACTGTCGATCCACGGCTGGACGAGTCCCATCCCCTACGCTGCGTCAACCACTGGGGGTTGTTCGACCGTAATTGGCGCCACGCTGGTCACTGCGGCTTGGTGAGAAGGGGGTGGGGGGGTGGTGTTAATAGATTCGAGCCAGATTGCGGATGCCTTGGCGAGGCCAAATCATGGATTGGCTCCGGCTCTGCAGGCAGCCGGTGGGCGAACCGCCACCCGGCCACGTCCGCCAGGGGCCTCGCGCTGGCGTGGCTCGGATGCCACGCCAGTGGTGAAGTCGAAGGTGATGCCCCCAAAAATGAATTTGTGGGAGCGTCACGATGGCTAGGAGATGTTGACTACCTCACCCAGTATGCAGGAGGTCGTGGGTTTGATCACGACCCTGACGATGCCTTCCTGTATATTGGAGGCTGCAAGTTCTCTCTCTCCCCGTGTTCGCGTGGATTTTTCTCTGGGTCCTCCGGTATTTTGCCCTCCACATTTAGAATCAACGTCACGCGTTTCGAGTGTTTGGCTACTCCTATAAATTTCCACGTGATGACGATAAGCCGCTCCGTTGGGCTATCATCACGTGTGGCCGAAGTAGCTTCTGAAAATAAAAATTAGTTTATATCATGGGACCTTTTTGTCAGTACCAAAGTATGAAAAATAAGAAAAGGTTTTACCCTTTTCTGGCAATAAAACAGGAGGTGTTAAGATGCTCAAACATCAAATAGCTGCTCACCCTGAGCTATTAATGCCCTGATAGTGCATTGCCTTTGTAGTGTTCACCTTGTGGCGTTCTCTGGTCTGACATTGGTGGTAGTGAGACTGGGCCATGAAGAAGCCTGCTGTCTCTGGTGTAGGCCAATCAGTTTCAAAGACAATGCCATCTGTTATCAGAGCCATGTTTGTTTGCATGTTCACCACAAGTACAGTGTGTGGTTAATGCAGACTTGATTCCTTGCAAAAGGTATAATCGTTTTGGCGTTTGAACATCTTGACACAACTGTTTTATTGCCAGAAAGGGTAAGAAAAAACGTATTGTTAGTTTTTCATTGCACAAATACAAAGATCCCCCATATAGCCTTAACAGACTGTCAGGACAAGTTCTGCTAAATCCAGCTCCTATGAAGGCCTGCAAAAAAAAAAAATAGTTTAGATTGCTTGTTTGAATCGGGGGTGGGCGACGGTACGGTGGGGCGGTGCGATTAGCGCGATCGCCTCCCCGCGGGGCTCCGCTCGACGGGCCAAGGGTTGTGTAGCGTTCCCCTCGTGTGTGTGTCCCCCCCCCCCCCCCCCCACTAAGGCGCTCTCCGTCTCCACGGACGTCACCGGTGTCGTTATGGGCCCCCCTCCCTCCCCTCCCCCTCCTCCCCACAGGTGCCGCCGCACGTCTGGCTCCCCGCCCGGGCGCAGCGGGCGGACGCCTCACTTTGTAACGAATTTAAGGCAGCATGACACGAGCAACGGAAGGTGAAGCCTGCCGGGTGGGCCCCGGTAGCGGGCCGGGGGGAGGCAGCTGTGGCAGCCATGACGGCCGTGGCGGCCATGACGCCCCCCTTGTTTCCGCACTTGCTTCTCCTGTCGATCGCTCTCTCGCTCTCTCTCGCTCCGACCTCCAGCTAACAGCAATCTGAAGCTTCGCTTAACCCGCGCGGGGTCGGCCAGGTCTCGAAAGGAGGTGGCTGCGCAGAGCAGGAGGGGGGTGCAATCCAAGGCCGCGCCGAGTCGTCGGCGCTGAGATGCCGAGCGTCTGTCACGGGTCTCAGCCGCCCACGATGTAAAGCGGTCTCTGGGCCCGGTCATCAGCGACTCGCACAGAGACCTCACATAGAGACCCTTAGACTCGCATAGAGACACATAGACTCACATAGAGACCCGTAAACTCCCATAGAGACCCGTAGACTCACATAGAGACGCATAGACTCGCATAGAGACCCGTAGACTCGCATAGAGACCCATAGAAGCACATAGAGACCCATAAACTACATAGAGACTCATAGTAGCAAATCCAGATCCATAGAACACAGAGACCCATAGAAGTACATAGAGACCCCCGAAGACTCGCATCGACCGGTTGTGATGGAACTGGGTTTCCAAGTGTCAACGAGTTGACGATTCTAAGCGCGTCTCCGTTGACGGCACAAAAACGATATGGCATTCGGTTTAGTTCGGCACTTAATTTGGCTGCGTTCCTCTTCTGAGATTGAACAGTTGTCGATTTGAGCGGTGTCTCGACAAACATTGCCCTCGGCCTCAATTTCGGAGCTTTGCCCTCGGCGGCAGAGCGGGGGGGTGGGAAAAGTGCCGCCCCACTAAATCCGCGTGCGAACCAGGGGTGGGTGGGGGGGGGCCCGTTTGTGAAGAAGGGAAGCTCGGAGGTAGCTCTGCGGTGTCCGCTCCGCAGACTGTTCCCTGGCGTGGAGGGGTCTGCGCCGCCGCGTGCGTGGCACAAGCGGGGCGGGTTCGTCGTCCCGTGACGATGCATCGCCGATGGCGCAACCGAGACGGACTGAGAGGGAAAAATGTTTATATGCAGGGTGCTTAAAAAAATGCTAACACTTACATGGGACTGTCGTTTTTAATGGAAAAAGAATGGACAAAACACTGTAATATGATAACAAATGTATGTTAATAGCTTAAAAAAGTTCACCATCATTGTCAACACGCGCCTGTAATCTTCTCCAGGTGGTCTCCAGAGCACGGAAGCACATTTCTTGTGGTGTTGTTGCAAATTCTAAGAAGTGTTTTTGTAAGCACCCTGTATATACACAGTAGGTTCTCGATTATCCACGTGCAGTTCTCTTAAGCCCAAATTAATAACCTAAAAACAGCTATGCATTGTTATTCTTGGAGATGTTTATTTATAAGTAACACGGTGCTTAAATCGAACAAATATGTTACTCCGGCTAATCCTAAATCCACGTGATCGCCGCTTCAGTAGAGTAGTTGCAATATCTTTACAACGGTGGGGTGGAGTTTGATTGATGTTGATTGGCGTGGCTCTGCTATCATCCACTGAGTGGGCCAAGTCCTCTGTAGGGGAGCAGCAAAGTGTCCTCGCCGAGCTGGCGCATCGATCGGTCGACGTTCGTATTCGTTCTAAATGTATACCCCTATATTTGTGGTTTTTGGCATAGAGATCCGCAGAAAATGTTGAAATTGTTGGATTATCCGCGATTTTGAATTATCCACGGCCGTCCTCCCTATCATTGGCGCCAATAATCAAGAGGTATTAATTAAAAATAAAGTAAAATTGGACGTCGGCACACCTTCCCCACTGCACGCAGCCAGCGCGGACTTTGTGGGAGCGATGCTGCCGCCTCTCCCCTCTCCCTCCGCCCTTCCCCCCGCCGTGAGCCGCGGCTCTGTCACCACAACCCCGATCCTTGCGCCGAGGTTTGCAGCGGTTCGTCGCGAGAAAAGCCTCCGCCGTCCGCGAGCCGTCGCTTCCCTCAGACTGCTCAAATCCGCTGCCGAATCTCCCTGTCTGTCGCCACAACCCTGATCCTTGCGCTGAGGTTTGCCGCGGTCTGTCGCGAAAGAAAACCTCCGCTAATCGCGAGCTGTCGCTGCTCTTGCTCAAATCCGCTGCCCAATCTCCCTGCCGTGAGCCGCGCTCTGCCGCCAAAACCTCGCTAGACGCGAGTGGCGCAACACGTTGGCAGTCGAAGGCCGTCGCGTCTGCTCTGCCGAGCGCGAGCCACTGCCTGGGGGCTCCATGGTGGCTCGGAGATGTTGACTACCTCGCCTGGTGTGCAGGAGGTCGTGGGTTCGATCCCGATCCTGACGCCCTGCTGTATGTTTGGAGTTTGCGTGTCTCTCCCTCTCTCTTTCCCCGTGGTCGCATGGATTTTTCCTCTGGGTCCCTCTGTTGAAGAGTATTTGGCTGCTATGAATTTCCACGCAGGAAAAATACTTTTTTTATTGAGCTGTCATTTGTGGCCAGGTCGCTCTTCTGAAGAAGAGCGTGGTAACTCAGCGGGGACTTACCTGGTACAAAATAACGAAAAATTGTTTATAGTTTTAGTTGTGCCCAGAGAAGGAACCTTTTTTTATTAAATCGCCACCTTGTTGTGACGTACGAATCGTAAAGCATGGGACGGTAGCGGAGTGAGAAATGGGTCAAAGGTCGAAGAGCGACACAAAAGACAAAGACCCCCTTAACAGACTATTGGGGCAAGGGCTGCTAGGGAGCACCTATGAAGGCCGGCATGGCACATAACAGGGTGGGTGGCCAGCACCACGCTCGGCCGCCTTTGTCTCTCGAGTGGTGATGTTTGCACACCACACCAGGCACTCATTTCAGGCTGAGTCGACCTAGGGGAGGCCTAGGACCAGTTCAGATAATCGTCACTGGTGTTGGCCGTGAGCGGGAATCAAACTCGGGTCACCGGGTTCGTTGCGCAACGTAGCACTAAACGCTTACACTACCGCTCCATGCACGCACACACACTCGCACCCACCCGCACACGCACGCACACGCACTCGCACACACACACTCGCACCCACGCACTTGCACGCACACGCACCCACGCACGCACACACACACACACACTCGCACCCACGCACACGCATGCACGGGGTTCCGCTGACCGTTGAGGAAGAGCGCGTGAATATTCACGGAGTGGAAGCCAGGGGGGGACACCTAGAGACCAAATGGTAAACCCACTGTGGTCTGCGCTCCTTCAGCGGAGGAGGAGGAACAACGACACTCTCTCTCTCTCTCGTCGTGGCAGCAGCAGCAGCAGCTGGACCTCCACATTGACACCGACATCCTGAACAACCACCACCACCACCACGCATCGCTGCTGCTGCTGCTGCAGCTGCCATCGTGCGCGAGAATAGAATAGAGGGCATTCAGGCACTGACCCTTGTGCATAGCGTGCTGCAAACGAGGGGGGGGGCAGGGGGGATGGGCACGTTTCCCATAACGTCTCTCTGTTGTGTAAACCTTAACCCTCCCCGGCGTTATTGACGAACCCTCTGGGCTTTTCGTTGGCCGCGCCTGTGCCCCGCTGCCAACGTGGCGGCCGCATCGCCGGCCTCGCCGTCGCGATCGCGCCGCACGTACGGGGGAAGCAGAATCAGAGGATCTTCGTCCTGGAGGAATCCCATGAGCCTGTGAAGCTCACTTATTTCAGAGATGTTCCAGTCGGAGCAGCAGCAGCAGAGAAGAGAGTGATTCACTTGTGCCCCCCCCTCCCACCGCCCCCACCCCCCAGCCAACGTCGATCCGGCACAGCGATGAATCGTCGTTGAGAGACCGGCGAGCCGCCTTCCTGGCCGCGCCCGCGGGTGAAGGTCCCCACCTCGCGCCGGGAGCACTGCACCCGCTTTTCTCATCTCTCCTCCCGACGTGCAAATTAGGCCCCAAGCACACTGCACGTGCCTGATGATTGGCAGTCCGCGGGAATGTCTCGAGGACCGTGGTCGAGCGGCACCGCCGATCTGCTCGCACGGCCCTGCGCGTTGCCGTGGGGCCTCTGCCGCTCGTTGCTCACTCCCTCGCAGCTGAGCTCCACCTCCTCGATCATCACCACCACCATCAGCATCATCATCACCACCATCAACATCATCATCACCACCACCATCAGCATCATCATCACCACCATCAACATCATCATCACCACCACCATCATCACCACCATCAACATCATCATCACCACCACCATCAGCATCATCATCACCACCATCAGCATCATCATCACCACCACCATCATGACACGCCTCGACCACCACCGTCGCAAGCCTTTGCCACTCGCATCACCTTACCACTATCATCATCATCACCACCGCCACCACCGCCATCATCACCACCACAGCCTCGACCATCACCGTCGCACGCCTCCCACCACCATGGCAAGCCTCCATCAACACCACCGCCGCCGCTGCTGGCAAGGGGGGGTCTGTTATGAGGGGGGTGCGGGTCTACGAGACCTGCAGCAGTTCGTTGGCAGCGACTGCTCCCGCTGTTGCATTGAGGCACTGGCTTAGGAGACGGACTTTGCGGGGGGGGGGGGGGGGGTGCTTGGACAGGGGACTTGTGTGTGCGTGCGTGTGTGTGCGTGTGTGTGTGTGCGTGCCTTCATAGGTGCTCGCAAACAGCACTTGCCCCTAAAGTCTGTTAAGACTATATGGGGGGTCTTTGTTGTGTGTGCGTGTGTGTGCGCGTGTTAGGAACCCGATGACCCGAGTTCGATTCCCGCTCACGGCCAAGACCAGTGACGATTAGCTAAAGCGGTCCTGGGCCTTCCCTAGGTCGAGTCAGTTTCAAATGAGTACCTGGTGCGGTGTGTAAACATCGCAACTGGGAAAACAAAGGCGGCCGGGCGTAGTGCTGGCTACGCACTCCCTCCTGTGCCACAGTGCCGACCTTCATCGGTGCTACTTGCGAACGGCACTTAGCCCAACAGTTTGTTTGAGTCTACAACGAGGGATCTTCGTCTTGTGTGTGTGTGTGTGCGCGCGTGTGTGTGCACGCATGAGTGTGCGCGCATGTGTGTGTGCGTGAGTGTGTGTGCTGCGTGTGTGCGTGCATTTAACCCGATCCTGGTCCGATGACGTGTGCGTAGGTCATCGGTTTTTCTTCCGATTCCATTCTGATGACGTGTGTGTGTGTTTAGAGTTCATAGTCGTACCCTCGTCTGTCTCGCCACCGTGTCCCTCTCCCCCCCGCCCACCTCTCTCTCTCTCTCTGACCCGTCCTGGACGACTCCCCCCGTGGCCCCGCAGGATAGTGCTGATCAGCGCCAAGCGATCGTTCTGCACCGTCTTCTCGGTGCTGCCATACCGCGAGGGCACGCACCTGGGGTGAGCCGCCACGCCGCCACGCCGCCACGCCGCCACGCTCGCCGCTCCAGCCAGGAGCCGGGAGCGGGGAGCCCACAACAGCACCGCGTGCTCACACTCGCTCTGTACCAGTGTGCCCCCCCCCCCCCGCCATCACATTGTGGTCCCTAAACCCACAGCACTTGCACCTGCAAACCCATAACACCATGGTCTATAAACCCCTGACACCAGGGAGTCCAAACCCATAACACCATAGTCTATAAACCCATAATTCCTGGGTGTGACATCTCACAGCACCTGGGTCTGTAACCCTGATACCGATGCCTCTTAACTCGTAATCTCTGGGTACGTGTCACCTGGTTCCAGTGATCAATTTCAGCTGGGTCCGACTGATTCGGCGAGCCATGAAGTATTTACACACCCGGCACACCGCAAACGGTAGACCATTGAACGCCTGTGGCGACCTGTCACTTGCTTACTGCAGTCAACCAGCAACTGGGAATTCATATTGTATCACCTAAGCGCAAGATTCTGTATCCGTGTAGCGAGCTGTCAGACTGCCCCGTGCCATATGTATATTGTATATTGAACTTTTTTCGCACCGTACGCAGCCAACCGTTGCTAATCAGAGGTGCGGGGGTGGAAGAACAACAAACTAAACACGAAAAGCAGTTTCAAAGAAATGTGTCTTCAACCCGGGCTTCATAGGCGCCGCTCACTAAAAACACTTGACCCAGCAGTCTGCTTATTCTATACGGTGGGGGGGGACATTTGTCTTGGTGTGTGTGGACGCAGCGAGGTGCGGGCCGAACCCGGGAGGCAGAGGCATGCATCCGGGGGTGTCCCCACCTCCACGGAGATGGTGATGGGCCTGGAGGGCGTGGAGCTGGGAGCCGATGGCAAGGTATCGATGCTTGTACAGACAAAGATACCCCGTTTAGCCTTAATGGACTTTTGCGGCAGGTGCTGTTAGCGAGTACTTACAACTAAACTACTATAAACTATTTATGTTTTGCCAGGTAAGGCCCCACTGAGCAATGTAGCTGTTTTTCAGAAGCGATCTGGCCACATATGAGAGCTCAACGAAGTGGCTCATTGATAATTGTTTTTTTACCCTTTTATCTGGCAACAAAACTGACACCTTTTTTTTGCATTATACCTGCAGTCATAATGCAAACAAAAAACATAACTGATAACGTATGCACTGTCCTTGAAGTTGATTGGTCCACACCCGAGACAGATTTCCTTAGAGCCTAGTCTCACATGGTGTTGGACCAGATGACGCCAAAAGGCGCACAACTCTTATTTTGTTATTCTTTGGTTCTTTCGGTAAAGTCACGTATAAAGAAAAAATAATAAATTAAATAATAACATACGACGTTTCGATTGCAACACAAGCAATCATCATCAGGTATAATGAAATAGCGACATAAAATCTAACCAGAAAAAATTATAGACAGACATATGAGCAGACAGATATCACCAAGATACACACAGCGGGCAACACAGGTACAGGGAGGGGTGATCGTCTCTGTGGGGTGGCCTTAAATAGACAGAGGGGGGCGGAGGCAGCCTCCGCCCCCCTCTGTATGTTATTATTTAATTTATTATTTTTTCTTTATACGTGACTTTACCGAAAGAACCAAAGAATAATTCCTGCAGTCACGAAAGCTCCAAAGTTCATATTTTGTTACTGGCAAATGAGGTTCCAATGGTGTAAATGCTTACCCCGAGCTCTCATACTCTGATGGTGCATTGTGCATTGTCTTTGAGTTGTGCGCCTTTTGGCGTCATCTGGTCCAACACCATGTGAGACTAGGCTCTAAGGAAAGCTGTCTCGGGTGTGGACCAGTCAACTTCAAGGACAGTGCATACATTATCAGTTATGTTTTTTGTTTGCATTATGACTGCAGGTATTGTGGTCTATGCAAACATGACTCCTTTTTTAAAAAAAGGTGTCAGTTTTTTGTCTGCCAGATAAAAGGGTAAAAAACAATTATCATATTTTGTTACTGGCAAATGAGGTTCCAATGGTGAAGTGGCTCATTGTGTGAAAATTTATAGCAGCCAAACTCTCTCAACGTGTGATGTTTATTCTAAATGTGGAGTTGCCTGGTTTGTAGCGCAGTACGCTAACCGCTGCGCCACCGCTCCCCATACGCACACTGACAGACACACACACCGCGTTACAACAATGCTCACACGCGCTCGCGCTGGTCATGGTGGTTGTGGTCGTGGTGATGATGATGCTTTTGATAATGGGAGTGTTGGTGTCGGTGAAGATGATTATGTTGATAATGATGGTGAAAGTGGTTTTGCCAGTGATGGTCTGGCCAGTATCGATAATGACGGTGGTGAGGATGATGATAATGTATGTACGTTGAACTTCTTTCGCACCATACGTAGCCAACTGTGCTAATTGGAGGTGCGGGGGAAGGGCAACAAACTAAACACAAAGAGCAGTTCTAAAGATAAATTAGTTTTCAAACTAGATGATTTGAAAGTGCATAGCTCCAGTGGCTTCCTAATAGCATTCCAGATGGTCGCAGAAGCACATCTAAAAGCGCGGTGCAATGATGCAGTGACCACCGTCTTTGCCCAGCGGTTAGCCAAAAGCCACCGCCGCTACTGCGAGGATGGCCGGAGTTTGCGCGATGGTTTATACTCTTTGACGAGGTCGGCGAGGTATCGTGGTTCATTTGTGGCAAGAACTTTGTGTGTAATGATGATGATGGTAGAGTTGACGATGCTAGTGGTGGTGATGACGATGATAACAGTGATTATAATGATGGCGAAATTGCTTTTGACAGTGATAGTGGTAATGATGATGATGGTAGAGGTGGCGATGCTGACCATGGTTGTTGTGACATTGGTGATGATGATGAAGATGTCGGTGATCACAGTGATTATTATTATGATGATGGTAAAAGTGGGTTTTTGGATTTTTACAGTGGTGGTGTGTATGGTAATTATGGTAGAGGTGATGATCAGGTTTCAGTTTCATGTATTAGGTATAGCCCAGTGAGCCATGTGGCTCTTGACTCGGGTGCAACCGCAACAAACAAAAACATGAACAAGAAACATCTTAAAGTGACTACACGCAACAGAAACATCCAGGAAAAACAGCAAAAGTCTTCCATAAAAAAACACCGAATATCAACGCTGTGTGCTAAAATCCCTGTGGGATGCAAGTCAAACAATACCAACCATAATACAATTTATACTAAAGTTATCACGCTAACTCTGTACTTCAACAAACAAAAAAATATGATGATGGTAGAGGTGGCAGTGATGACAATGGTTGTTGTGAAGATGCTGATGACGACGACGACGGTGGTCTTGAGGATTCGTGACGAGCGTGCCCCCCCCCCCCCCCCCCCGTGTGCGTCGTACAGACCGTCTCGTACGCTCAGTTCCTCTTCCCGACGTTCGCCTTCCTGGGCCGGAGGGGCGATGCGCCGCCGCCACTGCCAGGGGTGGGCGGTGGGGGCAGCAGCTCGGGGCCGCAGCCCCTGCAGCAGCGCAACAGCACGGGCCGCAACCTGGCCCTGTTGCGCCAGGCCACGTTCGAGGGCCTCAAGCCCAGCAGCCCCGCCGCCGTGGAAAGCGGTGCGTCTCAGCGGGGGGCGCGGGGGGGGGGGGCATGGGCGGGGATGGGTGGTACGGGCGGGCGGGGGTGGGCATGGGCGAGGGAAGGGGGAACGGGCAGGAGGGGTTGCGCGGGGGGGGGGCTCTGGCGGGGGGGGGCATGGGCGAAGGGAGGGGGGTTGGGCGGGGGGGCACGGGCGGGGGGGGGGTCAAAGGGCAGGGTGGTGAAGTCAGGTGACTGCATCAGGAGCAGTGAAGTGTATTGCTGGGATGTCTCTTTTGTATCGCCGTGATGTTTACTTTGTGGATTGGGGCATTGCGTCGTTATACATTGTTATGGTCTGTTCTGGATGACCAGTCTCATACTGCTGAATAATTTTTTATTTTACATTTGTGCATCATCAGGTCTATCCGCATCTACTGCTGCCATCGTTTGTGCAGTGGATGCGGTTTAGGGTGGACCATGAGCAGCTTTGTGGAAGACTAAACCCAGGGATCTTCTGCGTTTAGGTCTTTCCTGGGTTAAAAACAAGCGGAATACATAATAGTAATAATAATTCGGAGTATATATTGGCATGGCGCGGCCTGGCTTTGCACCGCTGTGCCCCGTCGGTGTGGGACTCACAGCGAGAGCCGTGTGACCCCCGTGCAGGCCTGGGCCTAGATGCCGTGGAGTTCCTCGAGTACAACCCCAACCTCCTGGAGGACCCGCAGTGGCCGTGCGGGAAGCACAAGCGTGTGCTCATCTTCCCCTCCTACATGGTACGGTCCGATCTCACCTCCTACTTGGTATGGTCCGATCTCATCTCCTACATGGTATGCTCCGATCTCACCTCCTACATGGTACGGTCCGATCTCACCTCCTACATGGTATGGTCCGATCTCACCTCCTACATGGTATGGTCCGATCTCATCTCCTACATGGTATGGTCCCATCTCACCTGCGACATGGTATGGTCCGATCTCACCTCCTACATGGTATGCTCCGATCTCATCTCCTACATGGTATGGTCCGATCTCACCTCCTACATGGTATAGTCCCATCTTACCTATATCGGCAGCATAATGGAACTTTCAGAGATACGAACAAACCTGTTCGTATGACCAGTTGCCTGTTCGGACCGAGAGTTGGAAGTTCAAACTCCGTGCAACAGATGGCGGTGATGGCATCTACATCAGCAGAACATGAAGAACCAGTGGCATTTACATCTGCAGAACATGAAGAACCAGTGGCATCTACATCTGCAGAACATGAAGAACCAGTGGCATCTACATCTACAGAACATGAAGAACCAGTGGCATCTACATCTGCAGAACATGAAGAACTAGTGGCATCTACATCTACAGGAAATTATACAACTTTTAAAGTTATTCCCCATGTTTAGTGTACACGCCATACAACATGTTTGGAATCGACAGGAGTAAAGTTGGACTTACGAACCTCTGGAACCTAACTCATTCGTAAGTAGAGCAGTCCCTGTATAATGTAAGTATTTAACTATAACATGAGAGCTGAGCTTTAGTTAACACCTGGCGATGCTGGATGTCATCTTCACGAAAACGTTTGGCTTGCTTTTCAACATTATCCAGGGTTTTCGCTGATTCAATCAAAATCAATTGGCGAATGTGGCCATTGTCATAACAACTTGATTTGGATCAAGTTGTTTGGGATGGCGGAGGGAACAGCTAACGTTAGACCTCTACGCGATCCAAGCCAAGAGACACTGATGGTGGATCATAATGCCACTAATCAAAGGATGGCACGGTGTTTTTTAATCATTCATTCATCGCGTTCATTGTCACCACCGGCGCCATGATCAATCCACTGCTGGATGAAGGCCACCCCAAGCCATATCGTCGTATTTAGTTTGTTGTCCATACCACCCTCTCCGCCGCTGCACCTCCGATTAGTACGGTTGGCTACGTATGGTGCAAAAGAAGTTCAACGTACGTAACGTACACACCGTCAGCGCACAGTTCTTGACCACCAGTGGGCATAGTCAGGCCATGCAGAGGCCCCTGGAGACCCAGGAGGTGGGTGGAGGGGGGTGCCGCATGCCACGTCGAGGGGTGGGGGAGGGCGGATTATTCATTAATTGTGGGGTCCTCTCCTGCGTGAGACCCAAAGCAAATGACCATAAACTAAAACTATTGATTCTTTTTTATTTATCAATGTAGCTCTTTTTCAGAAGTGACGCTGGCTATATGATAGCTCAATGAAAGTGACTTTTCATCATCATCATCACGTGGAAATTTATAGCACCTGCCAAATACTGTGAACGCGTGATGTTGATTCTAAATGTGGAGGGGAAAAACCGGAAGACCTGGAGAAAAATCGATGCGACCATGGGGAGAAGCGAGAGAGAGAGACACGCAAACCCCAAATATACAACAGCAGGCGTCAGGGTCGAGATCGAACCCACGACCTCCTGTAGACCAGGCGAGGAAGTCAACATCTCCTAGCCACCGTGATGTTAACCCCCTTTGCTCTGGGTCGCCCTGGGCACAGAACCTGCTGTGCGTGTGATCCTGTGACAGTTTTGTCGGTGCCCCCCCCACCCACCGTGTACCCCCACACAGACGACGATCATCGAGTACGTGAAGCCGTCCGACCTAAAGCGTGACATGAACGACACGTTCCATGAGAAGTTCCCGCACATCAAGCTCACGCTGAGCAAAATCAGGAGGTGAGTCTCACCCCACCTCCCTCCCTCTGCTCCGTCCCTGCCTGTCCTCCCTCACTGCCTCCCTCCAACCCTCTCCTCCCTCTCTCCATCACTGCTTCCTTCCCTCTCCCTCCCTCTCTCCATTACCGTTTCCCTCCCCCTCTCCCTCACCTCTGTCCCTTACTTCCCTCTCCTCCCTCCCTGGAGTCTCTCTGGGCTCTCCTGAGGCTCGGGGGGTAAAGGAAGGCCGTTGGTTGTAACGCGGCTCGGCCTCTCGTGACCAACACCACGGCTCGCTCCACTGGGTCTCCGACCGTGCGCGAGTGGGACGCGTATCCCATCCGTGGGCCGCGTCGAGTGGAGGAGGGAGTACGACACAACGTGCTGCTCGCGTTGCGTTGGAAACCCTCTGAAAGCCAAAGCACTTGCCCCAACAGTCTGGTAAAGGCTATACGGGCGAGGTATGCTTGTCTTTGACACGCGTGTGTGTGAGCGGCAGTGCAGCGGTTAGCGCTACGCTGCGCTACGAACCGGGCGACCCGAGTTCGATTCCCGCTCACGGCCAACACCGGTGAATATTATCTAAATTTGTCCTGGGCCTCGCCCTAGGTCGGCTCAGCCTCAATGAGTACCCGGTGTGGTGTATAACACCGCCGCTCGGGAGACCAAGGCGGCCGGGCGTGGTGCTGGCCACCCACCCCCTCGTGTCCCGTTTCCGGCCTTTCGTAAGTGCTCGCGAGCAGCACTTGCCCCTACAGTCTGCGAAGGCTACACGGGGGATCTTTGCATTATTATGTTTGTTGTGTGCGGCGGTGGCGGCAGCCTGAAGCGCGAGATGCGCAAGATGGCGCTAGAGGAGTGCGCGCTGGAGGAGTCGACGGTGGCCGTGGCGTTCGTCTTCTTCGAGAAGCTCGTGCTGCAGGGCAAGCTCAACAAGCAGAACCGCAAGCTGTGCGCCGGCTCCTGCCTGCTGCTCGCCGCCAAGATCAGCAGCGACCTGCGCAAGCCGGAGGTCAAGAACCTCCTCGACGTGAGGACGCAACGCGTGCATCACAAACATCACCCCCCCACCCACCCCCGTGTAGCCTGTAACAAGATTGTTGGGAGCAAGCGCTGCTAGCGAACAGCGGCACCTAACGAAGGCCGGCACTGTGACACACGAGGGGGTGGGTGGCCAGCACCACGCCCAGTCGCCTTTGTCTCCCCAGTGGAGATGTTTACTACATACCGCCCCCAGGTACTCATTCTAGTACGCTGCCCCCCTCTGCTGCCCCCCTCCGATACCCCCCCTCCGCTCCCCCCCCCCTCCGCTCCCCCTCCACATCCCCTCCACTCCCCCCCCTCTGCTGCCCCCCTCCGCTCCCCCTCCACTCCCCCTCCACTCCGCTGCTCTCTCCCCCCACCCTTTGTGCCACCAGAAACTGGAGGAGCGTTTCCGCGTGAACCGCCGTGAGCTCATTGCGTTTGAGTTCCCTGTGCTGGTGGCCCTCGAGTTCAGCCTCCACCTCCCCGAGCACGAAGTGCTGCCCCACTACCGCCGCCTCGCCAGCCACGCCTGAGCCGCCCGGGGGGGTGGGGGGGGCGGGGGGGCCGCGGGGGACCGGAGTCGCCTCTGCAAGGTGCTGTCCCTCCAGAATCGGAGAATCGGAGTATTTATTATTTATTCTGGAGGAATCCGACGGGCTTTCAAAGCTCTTCTTCCACACGCGCCCATTAGGGGCGCGGTGAGGAACGCCGAGGGGTGATGCGGAGCCCAGACCCTGCCCCACGGGATGGTGAACCGTGAGTCCCTGTGCAGGCCTGGTGCAGGCCTGCTGCAGGCCTGGTGCAGGCCTGGTACAGGCCGGTGCAGGCCGGTGCAGGCCTGACACGTGTGGGCAGTCCCGGTGAGTTGGTTCGGTTCCTCCGCCCCCGCTCCCCCCGCCGAGTATTTGCAACCGCGGGAAAAGAAAAAAATAAACTAACATTCCTTACCCCGCGGGAAACCAAATCGTTACGCCGTCCATCGTGACCGTCCCGTGTTTGGTCTGCTGCCCGGATGGGCAGGCGCTACAATCCGCCCATGTGAGGGATGCGCGCACCAGCTCCGCCCGTGCATTTTCCACCGCGACGATTCCGGCCTGCCCTCGGTGAACCGACGTGGTCAAACATTCTGGTTAACCGACGTGAACCATTCTGGTGAATTGACGTGGTGAAATATTCTGGTGAACCATTGTGGTGAACCATTCTGGTGAACTGACGTGGTGAAATATTCTGGTGAACCAGTGTGGTGAACCAGTGTAGTGAACCGACGTGAACCAGTGTGGTGAACCAGTGTAGTGAACCGACGTGCTGAACCAATATGGACCGCCGGTGCCAATTGGTGCCGTAGGGTGGTGATGGGGGCTGCTAATCCCACCTTGCCTCCCCCCTCGCCCTGTGTCTGTGTGTTGGCGCCCATCCGCGTGCGTCGCCCGCGGTCACATGGGAGGCACCCCCCCCCAACCCCCCCCCCCAACCCCCTGACCCACTCCCCCCCCCTCCCACATTCAACCCCACGAGCCCCGCGACCTTGGTCCGATGTACATATCCTGTCGCGGCGCGTTTGACGCGTCGCGCTCCCGATGATGATTGTGCGCCCACGCGCCCCCCTGAGTTTACTCGCCAGTGCCAGCTTAGACTCCTACCCGCTAGCCTCGCCCCCCCCCGCCCCGCCCCTCGTGTTCGCTGCTCCCCCCCCCCCCACACTGACCCCCCCCCCCCACTATCTCATGCAGCAGGCGATCGACGGTTCCGCTCGCATCGTGCATGGGGGTCGTGCACGCACACAGACACGCATCAGCGTTACCAATCCGTGTCTGTGTGTGTACACCGCTAGAGCTACTGGAGCCCGAGGCCAAAAGAAAGTATGCTACTTGCACCGCTGTAGACTCCTGATGCCAGTGTAGAGATCGCTAGTTGTTCCACTTTAGACTCTACTAGAGTCTGATGCCAGTGTAGAGATCGCTAGTTGTGTCACTATAGACTCTACTAGAGTCTGATGCCAGTGTAGAGATCGCTAGTTGTTCCACTTTAGACTCTACTAGAGTCTGATGCCAGTGTAGAGATCGCTAGTTGTGTCACTGTAGACTCTACTAGAGTCTGATGCCAGTGTAGAGATCGCTAGTTGTGTCACTATAGACTCTACTAGAGTCTGATGCCAGTGTAGAGATCGCTAGTTGTGTCACTATAGACTCTACTAGTGTCTGATGCCAGTGTAGAGATCGCTAGTTGTGTCACTACAGACTCTACTAGAGTCTGATGCCAGTGTAGAGATCACTAGTTGTATCACTATAGACTCTACTAGAGTCTGATGCCAGTGTAGAGATCGCTAGTTGTGTCACTGTAGACTCTACTAGAGTCTGATGCCAGTGTAGAGATCACTAGTTGTATCACTATAGACTCTACTAGAGTCTGATGCCAGTGTAGAGATCGCTAGTTGTGTCACTATAGACTCTACTAGAGTCTGATGCCAGTGTAGAGATCACTAGTTGTCACTATAGACTCTGCTAGAGTCTGATGCCAGTGTAGAGATCGCTAGTTGTGTCACTATAGACTCTACTAGTGTCTGATGCCAGCGTAAAGATCGCTAGTTGCACCCGCAAGGCCCTCGTGACTTGATTTATGACTCGGGACGGTGCAATGGGCCACAGGTGCTGCCACCGTGGTCTTACGGGAAGCAGCCCGATGGCCCTCTTCGTGAAATGTGAGAGTTTTGGGAAAAAAATTAATGACCATAATAATTAATGTTGCAAACAAACTCCTTCATGCATTCACTTGGGGCTGAGCTGCCAGGATCCTCGGGGATGTGGGGCCAAAGTGCCGCTTCCTTCCCGGCTTTGGGATTCGACCTGGCCAACAGCAGCAGCGTGCTTTAGCTAACAAACCTGGCCAGTAGTTTACACTTTAGTGAACACCCCTGGTGCATACAGCATGCTTTAGTGAACACACTTGGCCAGTATATTACACTCAAGCTAACAAACCTGGCCAGTACAGCATGCTTTAGCTAACACATCTGGCCGGTAGTTTACACTATAGCTAATAGACCTGGTGCATACAGCATATTCTAGCTAACACACTTGGCCAATATCATTCGCTTCAGCTAACAAACCTGGCCAGCGCAAACTTACGTTTAGCTAACGCACCTGCAAAGTATAATACACATTAGCTCACACAGCCGGCGCGTACCGCATGCATTAGCTAGCACAAGCGGTGTGTACCGCATGCATTAGCTAGCACGACCCGGTGCGTACCGCATGCTCCAGACCACGCACTGCAATGCAGCGCAGTGTTGTGAACGGAACTCTGGCTGGGCCTCCATAATAATTGGGAATGCTTTAAGCCTGAGCCTTGGCTTTGCGCCCTATCTTGTGCTCGCGTGTTTTTTGCGTGCAATTTAGTGCAATTAGTTAACGTGTTGCCAATTGCAGACGGTTGGAATATATAATATATACGAATGGCGGCGCTCTGTATGTACACGCCCTGACAATGAAATTAATGTGAACAATAGGAATGGGTTTAATTATATATAAGAATCAGATCTATATATAAGTATATTACAAGTTTTATATGTATAGAGAGAGTATATAAGTATGCGATGCATCTCAATTTTGACTGGAGCAGGTGGAGCTAGCAGAGGGCGCTGTCGCGTCGGTCTCCGCTACGCTTTGTACGGCGCAGCGATGTCCGACATTCGGTGCACGCGCCGGGAGCATTCTTCGGTAACCGAACGGCGCTTCCCCGATGTTCAGTTCATTGCGTGGGACGAACCCCCCCCCCCCTCGTCCCTGCCCCCACCCCGCGGAGACACGCGGGAGAATCGTAGAATCGTCCGTGCGGCTTGGGCCGTGTGACGTGGTCCACACACGTGGCGACCGGAGGTGGCGGGGGCAGCGTGGACGCGAGGGGGTTGGCTCGCAATCGACGCTCGCCCCCAACCCCGCCGCCCTCCGGTCGTCGTCGTCCAATCGCTCGCGCCGCCGTCAGAAAGCCGAAACGTGCCGGCAGTTCGTCGTTGTATTCCTCATCGCACGTACGGACAAGCGCACGGCCAGAGTATTTTTTTGCGGAATTTTCCAGTCCCCAGGATTTTATGCCTTGATCAGAAGTTAATGACGTCGAATTTGTAACCACATAGTCTCCGTTGACTCTATCTCTCTCTATCTCGAGAGAGAGAGCGATAGAGAGAGATAGAGAGAGAAAGAGAGACTTGACTTTTAACCACTTTTATTGTTGCCAGCAGCAATAGCACGGGAGCTGATTTCAGTACAAAACACATGGAAATACAGCTTCAAGTGTGCACGTTACAACAAAACACGACTCGCGGAACATGCGCTGCACTCGCCAAGCACGACACAAACAGCACATCGTCGCGCATGCCATGCTGAGGTGATGCGTAGAGTCGTCTCTCCTCCGATTACTTCGAAAAGGCCGTTGCAGGAAATGTTTGAGGTCGTAGTGCGTCCACTCGAAGCTCCGCCACGTGTCCAAAAGGCTCTGGTAATAACCTGGCAGCCACGTGTAGTCGACCAGGCCCAAGTCTAACAGGAAGAGCTCCTTTCCCCTACCCCAGGCACCCCCCTGCGTCTCTCAGCAGGGTGAGGACCGGCGACTTCCAGGGTAGTTCCTCCCTTTCGTACAGCAGCCGCCTCACGGCCATAAGCCTGCAACTCATCACCCTGGCGGCGACGTCCACCAGGACCTGGCTACCCTCGCCCACCGGCCCTCAGCCAGTGCTTGCTGTGCCAGACTAAGTGCGCGAGTGAGCAGTTAATTCTGGTGAGTAACCAGGCCGGAGGCTGGAGGGCTTTGGCCTTGTGGCACAGCAAATATGCTGGCAAGTTATTAGCGACGAGCACTCCACCCCTAAAGGATATCTGCGGAGTGAGGCACGCCCATGCCAGCATTTTAGCCTCGATCACGTCGGCCAGCTCGGTCCAATTGTTCTAAGCGATGTGTGGTTTCCCCAGGTAGACCCCCAGGTACTTGATTCCGTCAGCCTGCCAACTGATTCCTCCTGGGAGGAGCACAGAACGCACGCGGCAACGCGACCCCAACATAGAGCCTCATGCTTGGCCCAGTTGACCCTGGCAGAGGAGGCCTTCTCGTACACTACCACCGGCAAACATAGCGCGGAGGCGTCCTGTGCATCATTGACCACGATGCATATGTTGTCCCCGCGTACATCTTGAGCCCGAGGACTGCATTCTCAGATCCTGGGACCTTGAGGCCAGACACATTTTGTCTCAGGTGGCATAGGAGTGGCTCAATAGACACGGTGTACAGCGCCCTGAAAGAGGGCATCCCTGTCTGACCCCCCTCGTCATGGGAAAAGGGGCGCCGAGCCGCTGTTTGATTTTCATGAGACTGGATGTGCCCATGTACAGGAGCCTAACGTGCGAGATGAAAGCCCGGCTGAAGCCTAATGACGTTGGTAGCTTGCCCAGGTACCCATGGCTCACTCGATCGAAGGCCTTCTGATCCAAGAAAAGGAGGCCTGAGTCCACGTCGTGCATTTCTGCGAGGAGATTATATCTCCAACCGTACTGATGTTATCATATATGCACCGACCAAGGATACAATATGACTACTCTGGCCAGCACCTTGGAGAACATGTTGTAATCGCGCACAAGAGAGGCACAGGTCGCCAGTTTTCATTGAAGCGCAGGTCTGCCTTCTTGGGCAGCAGGGTGACCACCGCTCTCCTTCAGCTCAATGGGAGTTCACCCTTCTGCAGGCTCTCTGTCATCAACCTCCAATGGGCAGGGGCCGAGCCTATCCCAAAAGGCTGCATAAAACTCAACTGGTAGGCCGTCAATCCCTGGGGCTTTACCGGCTGCGAGCCCGTGGAGCTCCTGCAGGGTGATGGGGCTGTCGAGACGCTCCCGTTCAGAGTCGCCTAAAGTCGGGCCCCTATCTAGTAGCTCCTGGACAGCCTTGTCTTGTATGGTTTTGCCGATAAAAACTTGCTAATATAAATCCCTGGCGATCTTAGCGATTTGCCTCTCAGATGTGGTTCTTTGTCCATCTGGGGTTTGTGAGCTTAACATATTGTGAGTGTTTGCCAGGTTTTTTTGTAAGCGAAAGAAACATTTAGAGGGAGAGTCCATCTGCAATAAGTGCTGCATCTTGTTGCTCACGAATGACCGATGCGCCTGCTGGTTTGTGATAGACCTGAAAAGCCGCTGCTTCTCCAGCAGCATCTCACCATCGTGTATGCTCTGGAGTGAGCTCAGCTCTGCCTCAAGCACCAACAGGTCGTTCTGTAGTTGCTGTACGACCTCCTTCCTAGCGGTGGCGATCTGGCTTGTGAACTGTCGATCGAGAGCGCTGACCTGTGCCTTGGTGTTCTCTCACCATTACTGCCGGGAGCTGAAGCTGCTTTAGGCAGGCAGCCATTGACCCCAAAAGGCCTTAAAGGTTTCCTTAAAATCCTTGTCTTCAAGCCGCTGCACGTTGAGTCTCTGGTAGGCGCTGTGCTTGGAATTCGCAGGAGCACGGAGACCAAGTGGTAATCTGAAAACCCTCGAGCAAGTTAACCCCGCTGGCGTTTACATCCAGTTGATCGGACCTCGCGAGGCTTATCCTGCCTTGAGAGCAGTAGCGGCACCAGGAAGTACTGCCACTGGGCTGAATGCTGTAGTCACCACACGTCGAGCAGATCCAGTTTCAGTACCGGGTCTGCGAGCGGCCGTGCAGATTGCAGTGAGTCTCCGTGGTTTTGCAGTCGAGAGCCGGGTCCAAAGTGCAGTTGAAGTCTCCCCTCACGACCGTGTGCCCATCGTCCGCGTTGTCTGTCGCCAGTACGTCCAACAGCACGCAGAAGAAGAGCTTCTTCCCGGACGCCCTGCTTGGAATGTACACGTTAAAACACCTCAGCCTGGAGTTATTGAGGGCAAAATCAACAGAAATCAAGTGGCCTTTTACGATCTCTTTGAAGACCACGCCGTCTGGTACAAACAGCGAACCGAACACAATCGCCACTCAAGCGAGGTTGTCCTCAGCATGGCTGAAGAACGCCTAGAAAAGGCTGGCATTGGGCCTCCAGAGTGGTGTCAAGCTGCAGATCTGACCCCACCTCTTGTCGCTGCGAGCACTGTTGCAGTTCAGACTGGCTACCTTAATAGCTGTGAAGCCATGATATATGTTGTTGTGTTGTGATGGTGACAGTAGCTGCGGGGAATCACTTCTGAGCAGAAGTAATTTTCCTCCTCGCCTTGCGCATGAACGTGGAAGTTGAACTCAAACCTGTCGCGATTGCGACAAATTTGTTGAACGGCAATGAGGAAGGCCGTCAGGTCGGGGAAGAAGGCCTCAACCTTGACCTTACGCTGCCTGAAGGTGTACTTTAGAAAAAGGTGGATGTCCCCAGGCGCATATTCACCCTCGCCCTTGACTTGTGAGTAGCCTGTCACTCACGCTGTTCTCTCCGTCGGTCTCGGACACCTCGTCGTCTGCTCGCACGCTGGCCTGTGGCTCGGTGAACTCCTCCTGCCACAGGAAACGTCAGGGCCTCATCGGAAACGGGGTGGCTCTCCTCTGGCGACTGAGGCTCTGTGGCTTCCTCTTCGGGTGAGGTGAACCGGCCATTGTCGCCCTCCAGCAGCGTGGCACTATCAGGCGCTGCGCCGGCTCGTAGTTCGTCTTGCGGCCGAGGCAGTGTCTGGTGGTGGTGGTGGTGGCGGTGGGAGGAGGAGGTGATGATGATGACGGTGGTTTCTGTCAGTCGCCTCACGACACCCATGTGATTGTTGCGTTTCACGAATGCCACTGCCTTCCTGCACTGTCCTCAAACTCGCTCGGCTGCTTCGCCATCTTGGCAGTGGTTTGTTCTGGCACCAACCGCGTCCCTCGGACGTTGACGGTTGGCGAAAAAGAGCCGTGCTCCTCGGCTGACCGTGCGTAGACCTCGGGATTTGGGAACTCTGAGAGATAGATAGAGATAGAGAGAGAAACTCACAGGCAAGCGGGAGCGCACCCAGAACCGGCAGCAACTGTTGCCTAAGCTCAGCTGTCCTACAGTGGCACGTTTGTCCAACCACATTAACGGAAATTAGGAAATGAACACAATTAATTCACGAAGCAACGGCACTGGGTAGTAGTAGTAGTAATAATGTGACAAACAAATAACATTTTGCATTCACGTCGTCCGCGTAACGCGATGCGATGCGCAGTCATCTTTATTAGGGGGACCTCCCCCCTCCTCCCCGCTATAATGGGGCAACCTGCCCCCCCTCCCTGGACGTTCGATGAAGCGTCCCAAGAGTTTTCGAGCAAAGTTTGGGGGGGGGCTATCATTGTCACCCCCCCCAACCCCAGCCAATGACAGTGGCGGTCCCAGAGGGCCTCAGCTGCTCTGGACAGCTGTTACCGAACCTCTCCATTGCTGCCCTCCCCCCCGCCCAGTGA